CCTACAGCCATCGATAGACAGTATTTATTGTCCTTAGACATCATGGGATTTAGGCACATCCATGCTCCAGGCTTTCAAATTTTCAGGGTTTAAGGCCGAGTGGAAGCTGTTTCTGCAGATCCACTCGTCAGTTCCATGAAAATATGTCGCCACCACCGGGATTCGAACCCGGGACCTATTGGCCTAGAGTCAGACGCACTAGCCACTAGGCCAACCTGGCCGGCAGTAGCCTCAAAAGTCAATTTAGAAATCTGAGGGAACGGGGTTTTTTTTTTCTTTTTTTTCTGCTGGTCTAATGGCTTCGTGTCTTGCACCTTCAGCCAACTTTCGACAATTTTTAGTGTCCGTAGACATCGTTCATGTTCTGCCAGATCCAATCAGCCCGAACTCGGCTCTCGGCCCCCGCTGCTGGAAATTTGGCGCGAAAGATTTTCAACAACTTGCCCTGACCGAAAACGAATATGACCGTCCGCTGTTGATAAAAATGAACAAACAGCTATCTCACTAGTTGCAAATGAATTTTCACTCTTAAAGAATTTTCTTGCACTGAATGTTTTCGTTTTCATCAACAGCAGATGGTCATATTTATGTTTTCGGCCAAGATTGCAAAAGTGTTGACATTCAAATTTCGCGCCACCTCTCTAGAGGCGGGAGCCGAGAGCTGAGTTCTGCTCGCAACAGTGAGGAAGAGCATACCTACAGGGTCGGATTAAGGGGGTGGCCACATGGGCCGCGGCCCATGGCAGCAAATCTAAGGGGCGGCAAAAATTTGCAATTTTTTAAGTATAGGTGTATAAAAAAATCGGATTTAGAAAAAAAAAATTACAAACGAGAAAAGGCGACAAAATCTCTCATTTACTGAGAGTATAGTAATTTCTAATTTTGTCGTCTCTTAGTGATACAAGAGACAGTACCTTCAATTAGTCGAGTTAAGAGAGAAACCTAACACGCAATTTGGCCTGGGACGGCGCGACTTAGAGAGAAATAATAACGAGGACTTGAGATGAAAAGGAGATGCTCTCGGCGCGGCGATCGGCATGTAACAAATATTAGCGCCTACAAGACTGCACGAATACTTCTCGCATTGCATCAAACACAGTGCGTTCATTGCGGTCAGCGTGAAATGGATAGCGCCTACAAGGATGCATGAATATTTCACGCATTGCGCCAAATACAGTGCGGTCAGCGTGAAACGCATAGCGCCTACAAGACTGCGTGAATACTTCACGCATTGCGCCAAACATGGAAGGCCTTGTCCACACAGAGATAGGTTTACGGATCTTAACTTTCGCGCAAAGTTCCGTGAACTTTTGCTAGTAGTGTTGACAGGGCTTTCCCCAAAAAATGTGTTCAACACGAGTAAATAAGTCTTATGCACCCCTCCCCCGCTGGCACGTTCACTTGATGGTTCTTATCAAGTTTGAAAATGAATGAGAAGGGGGCGGCAAAATACAGGCGGCCCATGGGCGGCAAGTAGGTGAATCCGGCCTTGCATACCTACGTTTCAACAGACAACTAATCCAGTAGATAATGTGAGTCCGGAGTAAAATCTATTTTTTACGTAGAGTGAACTTGCTCTTATGGAGTGAATATTACTCCTCTTATATTGTATCACTCGGGTTTCTGGGGGCAAAACAGGCTCCAAAGTGACAAACCGAAAAGTGTACTCCGAAAACCAACCCATTATTTCTGACGAAGTTCATTATCCTAAAAGATGAAAATAAGGGAGATCCAAGTAAAATGCCACTTGTAAAGTTAGTTTTTTTTTTCATAGTTCTTATCTTCTCCGAATTTCCTCGGCTGAGCGTGAGTATACCTACAGAGAATACCCTCGATGGAATTTCTTTGATCCACGTCTCTCAAATTTATGGCAGCTCCTTCGACTTGGCATCCGCGGGAGTGACACGGACATTCCGGGGATGCCTAACCCCCGGGCGCTCTCATTCCACGAGCCCACAATCGCACCCCCGATGATCCACTCGAATGGGGGAAAGTATCAGTTTCAAACTCACCTCCTCCCCCGCGCCCACCCCCGCCCGAAGCACTTTACCTCTTTGCATCCCTGATGTGTAGGAGTCAAGAAAGCTTGAAAATATGAATAATTAAAACTTGCCGATTCGCCACCAAGCCGTGCTTTGACGCTCCCTTACCAGAGATCCACCCCTCAGCGCGGTGAAGTCACTCGCGCGCTTGCCAAATTGTCGAAAAATTCACATATTTTTCCATTAGAATCTACAATCCCTTGTGCAATTTAGCAACCTTGGACTCTTGCCAATCAGAGTGGATGCAATGTCTCTTTCGAATACGACAGACTCTGACCGTGAGATTCGGTGAAATATCTGTTTTCTGAACGACTTAGCAACCGTGCGGATTAGCGAGACGACTCATTATTTGGCGCTTCATCATCGCTTGATATTTTACAGTGTGAGTAAGGAAATGTGCGTCTCCCTTTATTAAGCTCTCTTTTTTCACAAAGCGTATTGAGACGACAAGAGTGGCGGGGTCGGTTTTCAGCGAGCTTCTGTAATCAAAGCCTGAAACTTTGACAAATGACTTTCGGATTTTTCATGTGGATTTTCGCGACTTTGACGAGAACAACGAAAGCGTGTTATTGAAGAAAAGCTGCGGTAGATTCAAAGTATTCGAGGTTTCGCATTAAGAGCGTGATAAACAATGAGCGAATGTGCCTATCCACACAAGACAAAGCATGAATAGCATTGTGCGGGATGAAGAGCGTCAAAAATAGTTGCTTAGGCTTCCAGAAATTTCGCAGGCACTAGAAACCTCGATTTCAAACGGGATACGTCTTTAAGATAAGTATTGAGGTTGCACCTGGGAAGAATACGAAGGGTTTTCATTTGTCTTCTTCAGCAATTCGGCAAATTAGTAGAGAGGCTAGAAAATATTATCTAGGTTACATCCACACAGGTCCTTAAAATCCTCGATTTTCTTTATATATATTTTTTTTATTTATATGTATGGACTAAGGACGTAGGTCCGTCTTCTGTGATCTCTATTTTGTAAAAAGTGACATTCAGTCGAATGTGAGTATATTGAATATCATCGTGTCGGTTGTATCGACCATGCACTTTCCGATTCATTAATTGATTTTGATACATCGGATGTGCACCATCTTTTCACTCTTTTTTTCTTCGGCCTAGTAAACTCTTTGCCTTATTTTAAGTGATATTTTGGATTCAGGATATTTGGGACGCTTTTTTTTTACTCCTTTGAATCAATCTCTGAAAGTCTGTTGCTTAGTATAATTTAGCTGCAGGAGATTTTATCAATATCTCAATGGGGCAGCCACATTCATTTCTCAAGCCATGTTTACGACGCGACTCAATTTAATCAGTGGCAAAAAATTCCTAAAATTTCTGCATTAGAAGGCCCTGGATGTCGAAATCCTATTCAAGAGCGGAAGAGATTTTCATCTATTATCCTGAAATCTCCTAGAATTCGAATTGCTCACCGAGTCATTCGACTTGATCTGTTTCTTTCATTGATATTGCAAGGAAACGCTATGGCTTTTCTTTTCATTCCCTCCTCTTTTATCCGAACAATGAGACCAAGTTCTGCCACGTCAGAGTCTTCGACACCTCGCATTATTATACGTCGCACAACGGCGTTTACTTTGCAATATTTTACGCAGAAAGAGGGAACTCTGATAAGAAGGCCAGAGCTCAAAATTATTGCTTTGGTGTTTGTAGAGTAAGGAAGATGGGGTAGGAACGGAGCTGCAATGGAAGGGAGCACGCACCACCCCTTCGGCTTGTCAGTTTCACTTGGCCTCGTCATCAACCAAAATTAACCACCAAAATTTTCGAGTGGGAATATTAATCATGCATTGTCATGATCCCTCGGAGAGCATATCAAATCAGGCGAAAGTAAATTCTTCGATAAGTCACCCAACGAATCTTCAGAATTCTATCGATCACATCAACTATTAACCTTAGGTAAACTAATACTGAGGGAATTAAAGGGGCTTAATTTATTCTGTTCTAGTCCATTTGCTTCTGTAACATTACTCTGTTAAAAATATTGGAGTGATATTTACACTTACATACCAGAGTCCATATCGACGGTATAAGTCGGCAATCACATAACTCGTTTGCGGTGTCTGAAAATCTCCGCCTCTACTTTATTTTTTTAAAAGAGAACAAATTGACATCATTCCTTGAAGTTTATGCAGAATTTTCCTTGCACAAAGAAGAAAAATCACGGCAGTTTCAAAGAAATACCGGTGAGTAGTTTTCCGTTTAAAAAATAAAGTATGACAGGAAGTCTGTGACGTCGCAAACCGAGTTATGTGATTGCCGACTTACACCGTCGATATAGCGTCCATTCACCTCTCGTGAAAACATCTGGGAGTGAAGTCGGTTGGAGTTCTGAGCTCCTCTTTGCAGTATATGAAGTGCAGAATGCAACTATTCGTGCTTGACGAGTGTCCGTGTTGCATAGCAAAATATTGAAGGCGCGCTGGTTTCGATCTCACTTGACCGCATGTGCGAAAATACCCTCCCTGCCTTGCGCTATCTTTTACCATACATTTTCGGACGATGCTACTGTTCGTTAGTCGCTATTTGGATGTACATATATTTAGTGCTTTGACTTCACTCGTTTATACACGAGGAACCAGGAATTGTTTGAAAACACTCAAAATACAGCGCGTTGAAAAAACATGCTACTCAATGAAAGGATTTGGAATTTAGGTTTAAACATGTTTTACACAAGCTCTTGAACAAACAAAAAGTCTGAAACATGCGAGTATCCGATCTCAAAATGCTAGAATAAGATAGTTGCCTTTCTTTAAAAGTATTGCTTGTTTCTTTCAATTCCAGATGAATACTATGAAAAATCTAATCAGCAATCACATCTTTCAGATGCAGATGCGTTGTAGCGATCATCATACTTAGGAATATGATTATGTTAGGTGCACTCGTCGGTGATGTAATCTAACTCATGTAAGGTAAATTCATGATTATGAATTTTTGTTTCAGGTGGAGCGAGAAATAGCCATTATGAAACTAATAGACCATCCCCATGTGTTAGGATTATCAGATGTTTATGAGAATAAAAAATATTTGTAAGTATTAAAGTTCAATATTAATTACTATTTAATCTGTAGCACTATAATTTTAATTTCTACTTTTTGTTAATTTATATTTTTGGGAAAGTTTGTCTGGTATTTGTAAATAATTTTCTTTTATTCTTTTTCAAGTTAAATGGCAGACTCAAGGCTGATGATCTCAAAACGCAATTGAAACACTATAATTTGATGTATTTTAAATGTTTTTGTCTGCACAAATATTGATTTATCAATGTATATGATAAGGAGGTAAACATATTTCCAAACCACTCTCTTCTTTTAAAATACTACTTTAAGACAAACCGCAAATATGATATGTCCACTTACAAATACATTATTCTGAGAAAAATTGCGGATTTTATACTTTGGGAGACCAGCAAGTCCGTCAAGGATGCTTTTGGCATGCAAGATGTTGTCAAGTGGACCAATTTGAGGAGAGAGATGTGATTGGAGTACGTTGTTGACCGAAGGAATGAGGAGAGACTAGCGAAAATTCGTCTGGCTGAACAACCCTTAGGGAAAAGATCACCTGGACGACCGTCTAGGAGATGGGCCTCTTTTCTCCTGAGGATGATTGAATATTTCATTGCTGTTTTTGTTTTTATTGATTTGACGAGTCCTTTATATTGACCGCATATTTGCTTTTATGACCATTATGATTTAATTTGCTCGGTATTAGATGGCCTGACAAACAATGCTATGCCCTAGTCGTACGTAGAAGAAGACAAATTGGATTACATTTTGCAATAAGGAACCACTATTTCTGGCCCATTTTAGAAACAACATACATGCCATTGGTTTCCCTATGCAGATACGTGCTTTTATAGGAGAGCCAGGGATAGTGGTTCCTTATTGCAAGATGTAATCCAATTCATTATAATATTAAATGCAGGTTATCTTTTCAATGTCAGAGAATGAATATTTTATATGAGAAATGCGGAAATGAGATCAGCAACTTATACATTGAAAATTCCACACAAACCTGAATGTGTGGATACTAAGTCTATTCCCTAAAAGAAAGAGAGAGAGGGGGTGTCAAATGTAAGCTCAGTTGATCATATTCTTTTGCTTTTTAAGTAAATAAAAGATGAATCTTTAAAAAAATGATTGCTTTAATTGTTGCAGATATTTGGTATTAGAGCATGTTTCTGGCGGCGAACTATTCGATTATCTAGTGAAGAAATGTCGACTAACGCCTAAAGAAGCACGAAGATTTTTTAGACAAATTATTTCTGCCTTGGACTTTTGTCATAGTCACTCAATATGGTAAGTTTCTGAAATTGAATAATTTAATAAAAATCACGCGAAATTAGTGATCCGGAAGTACAAATTTCTGAACCTCTGATAAAACGATCTTTAAAAAGTTTAGACTCCTAATTGCCAACAAACTACAAGTACGTATCTCACAGGGCAGTTACAGGAGGAGAAACATATCATATACGAAACTGAGACAGCTGTAAATGCAGAAAAGCACGGAAGCTTGCGCTTTCGTAGATGCGCAGTTTTCATATCAATGTATGGATACAACTATTCGTACTTAACCATTGTCTATGTTGCATAGATACCATATTGAAGGCGCACCAGTTTCAAATGCGCACGGCAATACGTCTTGCCACATTAGCTGTAAGCATTTTTTCAATAATCTCACAGCGTTTTTCAGCTGTGCGAAATGTATTGTGCATATGATGATCACGAAAAATATCAAATAATGATGTGACCGTTCTCATTGGAGGAAACCTGTGTGCTTGGAGACTTTTGTATAGGAAACTTATTTTTGTTACATAGGTCAAAAAATTGAAATTCAAATTTTTCACGAAACCGGCTCGCTAGTATTTTAATGAAGCAACGGGTTTAACCAAAATCAACTTGATTGCATTTATCGTTGCCTGATTTCATCTCGTGTTTTATTTTTTTGGGAAAGTAAATAAGTCATTGCCGTTACGAAACTCTCTGTGTATTTTCCTTGGATTAATATGGAGGATATACTTACTCAATACCTTTTTAGAATTTTTTTACTGTCAAAAAAATGGAAGATGAGAGGCGATTAGGCTACTTTTTTCTTAGGCTAATCCTAGCTCGATGGTCCAAAGTAGTAACAAACGGTCGTTCATTCAATTTGAATGCATTTAAATAAAAAAGAACTATACCTTCATCGTATCCTAAGTTTCAAGACCCAAAAGACTCCATGCATAGCAAGGCTTATGTCACTCCTTTTGATTGAAAGACGTCCATCAAAGAATGGAAATCAATGCATCGAAGTCACTCAAAACTAGTGTCTTTTTCCTGTGGTCAGCCACGCAGTATACTAAGGATAATCTGCATAAAAATTGTATAATTCAGAGCAAAACTTATCGTAAATGAAAATTTTTAACTGGAAATACAAGCAGATTTGTAAAGCCTGCAAGTTAAGATAAAAAGACATGAGAAGAAGAGGCGGATTACTTCCTTGTTTTTCTCCTCGCGATGGTCCTTACACCCTCAAAAATCGTGAGGTACCATGTCTTTTTTAAATTCGTTTCTAATCGTTTCTCCATCTTTTTCACTCGCCAAATGCTATTTTTTTGATCCGCTTGTTTTATGTTTCAGTCATAGGGATCTAAAACCTGAGAACCTTTTATTAGACGAGAAAAACAACATCAAAATAGCGGATTTCGGAATGGCTTCCTTGCAGCCGACTGGTAGTATGTTGGAAACTAGTTGTGGCTCACCTCACTACGCTTGTCCCGAAGTGATAAGGGTAATTATTTCATTGTTGTATCATACTAGCTCTCTAACCCACTAAATTTTCATTTGTATCAAACCAGAATCAGTCCAACCGATGACATTCAATGAGGCGTATTTACTCCTAGGAGAAGGATTTAACCTGAATCAGCATGGCCGTATTTAACGTTGTCTCACTGCATCTCATGGTTCTACTTTTTTAACAGGAAACTACACAAAGCAACGCCTTTAACCTTTCTGCAATTTTTTCCTAGATTATAAAGAATATACTGAGTAAATTTCAAGTGAGGGCGTTGCTTGCGGTTTTCTATAAGATAAATAAATTATGAAGGAAGTGATGCGACGTCTACAATCGTCAGGTGGATTCTGCTTAAATAATTCGTCTAGTTTTTCTTCAAAAATTGAATAAAAAATTGAAATGATGACATTTACCGTCTCCGAACCACTTAATGCATCTAATGAATCAATGATTGCCCTCAAACTGCTCATGTAACGTTACCTTTGAAAGCTCTGGAACTTCCCACGGTCAGGGAGCTCAAACTATTATATGACAACGTTGCAATTGAAAGGAAATCGATTCAGTGGTGAATCCCTAATTCCTCTTTATTGCTGACTTGCACTCATTTCCGAGGCAATAAATCGCTGGGAAAGCAAGCGGCATGAATATTTACAAAACATGAAACGCAACCCGCCCGGTCCCCCATTAGTTGCGACTCCAGCAGTCGAGCAGTGCTTTAAAAGGGGTGATAAAAATTTCAGCGAAGACAGGCTGCGAATTGAAGCTTTCAGTGCCAGGAAAGCTTTGAACTAAGACAACTTTTCAACAAACTAAATCACAAATGACTCAATTTTATAAAAGGATACCGAATATCTTCTTTAAAAATTTGACTCCACTCATAATATCCTCACTTGTTAAAACTTTATTTGGTCGTTCATAAATTGAGCTCTAAGCCTACCTTTTGGGAGCCATGGAAGTATAATTTATACATATTTCTATACAAAGAATACCATTTCTTTATAATGTGGAAGAAATAAATCAAAGGATTTTTTTTAAAGGGACGATAACATTGTTAGGATTGGACGTAGAAACTTGGTGATAGGACAAATTCTATTATAGTTTACCGATTTACATTCTGAAATAATCAAAACACAATGACTGGCGTAACTGACCAATTTATCAATGAGAAGTGATGGACATAACAAATATCCTGGAAAAAGAGAATGAAAGAAAGAGGGCATGGACGATATTTTAACATGTATCACCCAGGGAATTGCGCAAACCTGAGCTTTTTAAACTTGAGCCGAGTATGTCTATATACATTTCAGCGATCCCTTGAATTTTTCATCTTTTTTGTGTTTTATTGCAAGAGCTTGGACTCCCGCTCTAGTTTAGGTTAACTTTGGCCTCAGTCACTAGACCAACAGCCACCGCATTAGGTTAGTCCACGTCCATGCTCCAGACTTTAAACTTGTTAAGGATTGAGGACAAGTAGAGTATGTTGCTGCAGATCTACTCGACCGATCCAATAACAATTTGTCGCCACCACTGTAATTCGAATCTAGGACCAATGGAGATGTTGCATTTGTGAGGAATTTGCGATTTAACGATTGATTCTTACGTAAAAGTTCGCGAGAAACACGATTGTGCCACTGGTTTTCTCTGAAATCATCTCCCAAGCTCAAAAAAAGCACTCAAGTTGAGGCCAAAATGGAGGGAATACCCCACGCTATCCTGAGAGTCCACGTCTACATCAAGACAAAATCTCCATGCAAAGATAGGGAGCAAACACATTGACAGGACTGCCACTTTATTAGGAGACTCCACGACTGAAAACACGGCAACCCTGCTAATGTATTTGCTCCCTATCTTTGCATGGAGAGTTTGTCTTGATTTATAGGTGGACTCTCAGGATAGCGTGGGATATCCCCTCCATTTTGGCCTCAACTTGAGAGCTTTTTTTTGAGCTTGGGAGTTGATTTCAGAGAAAACTAGTGGCACCATCGTGTTTCTCGCGAACTTTTATAAAAGAATCATTAGTCAAATCGCAAATTCCTCACACATGAAACATCTCCATTGGTCTACATACGTTGACCATTAGGCCAACTTACAGGCGTGTGAATATTCATGAATTAAGTTGTTTGATTCATTCATATTGATTAATTTAAATGTTTGGTATTTTTTTAGGGGGACAAGTACGACGGTCGAAAGGCGGACGTGTGGTCGTGCGGGGTGATCCTGTACGCGCTGCTCGTCGGGGCCCTGCCGTTCGACGACGACAACCTCCGTCAGCTGCTCGAGAAGGTCAAACGAGGAGTCTTCCACATCCCCCATTTCGTCCCGCCCGACTGTCAAAACCTCCTCCGCGGCATCATCGAGGTTAACCCTGAAAAGCGCCTCACGGTACGTCAATTTCAATTTAAAAAAATTATGAAACAAAAAAACTGATAGAGCCCCCAGGCCAAGGGCCGAGGGTCCCAAAGGTGGGTGCTAAGCCGAAATGTCCAAAAAAAAATGTTCAAAAATCAAAATGTACAAACCCAGAGTGTCCAAAAATCCAACATTTTTTTTCTTTAAACATTTTGACCTAGCAACATGTAGAGTTCCTTTATGCTGGGAGTCAAGACAATGTAAATCCATTTCTGATTGGTTCCCGTGTCTTAGGCCTTCACAGTGTCACAAACGGGAATAAATATTACATTTTCACCGATTGCAAAGATTATAATCTGGAATGCACCTGGGTATTACGGGTTCGGCAAGGAACAAACGGAATGAGAGAAGGAACGGAGAAAGGAATTTGAGAATGGGCCGATCAAAGATTATAAAAAACGTTCAATTTCTGTAATCTTCATTCCCGTTTGTGACTCCATGAGGGGGTGTTGTCTTGACTCTCAGTATAAAGGGAATCTAGCAAAATGAGGTGGCAACTTTGATTGTTCAGTTCGGTAAAAAATCCGATTCTAGGCTAAAAATGTTGATTCTCTGTATTCAAATACTTTTTAGAACAGGGAATTGAAATAGCAATGATTTGCAATCTCATCATTCCAAATCGGCTCTTTCGTTGCACTAAACAATGTGAATTTCCACCTTCATCTTAGTCTACGGTTTTCAAATCAAAAGGAGAAGAAAATGATAAAGAAGAGTGAGAGCAAGAACAAAAAGAGGTGAAGAGGAGGGAAGATGATAAGAGAAGAGGGAGCAGGAAGAGGAAGAAGAGGAAAAAGACTTAGAGAGAGGGAGGAAACGCCCTCTTTTTCTCCCTCTCTCTATGTCTGTCAAAAAGGATGAAGAAAATTAAATTGTTCTGCTGCCTCTTTTCATTTTCTTCTACTTCTGCTTCTTCTTCCAATTTTTCCTCTCGGCCTTCTCTACCTCCCTCTTCTTGTTCCTCCTATTCTTCCTCTCCCTATTTTTCTTGTTCTTCGAATTTTAATTCTTTTTTCTTCTACTTATTTTCTTCATCTTCTTCTTCATCATTTTCTCCTTCCTCTACTTCCTCTAATCGTTCTTCCTCTTCTCCTTCTCCTCATAAATTATCTATTTTTGTTATACTTTCTTCCGATTTCGAGTGTGTCCTCATCTAACTTATTTACAAGTCACGAGATCTGAGTTTGTCAGATTAGGGTTAGTAGCCCTTCTACCTGATTCCATCACATTCACTGCAAAGAAAGATTTGGAAAAGCAACACAAGACACATATCCTCGGGTAAGCAACTATTACTGCACGTAGGAAGTTTCTTGCCTACCTCGAAAATTGAAGGAAAAACAGGAATATGCGTAACTGCATTATCCCCCTCGTGTCAATTCTGCTTCTTCTAATATGTATTTCAGGTTTAAAAAAAGTCATTGGGCAAAGTCTATGTTACACGCCGGAAGTTGACCAATTAACTAGACGTGAACTCCAGCGCGATTGACCTCTATCCAGCGGTCAAGGCGAGAAGTTTATAGTTTCCCATTTTTATCGCCTTGACCGGCATTCGAACCCAGTACGTTGGGATAGAAGTCTCAAGCGCCCTCTGTTCTTTTGCTTCTGTGGAGTCCGTTTCGCCCTTTAATATCCAATAAGGATTTTAAATGGTATTTTAAACGGTATTTTAAACGGTATTTTAAACAAAACAATAGAAGAAATTGAGCACCTATAAACACACATGGGAATATATTACTTTTGGCGGAAATCATGCTCAATTCAGGGAGAATAAGTGTATGATATTTGATTTAAGCATTTTAGAGCTTTCACATCATACACACGTCACACACCTTTCTTTATTTCGACTGCTCAACTGAAATATACTTGGCAAGTATATCCTGATGATATAGCAACGAACTGGAACACAAAAGGAGACTCACCTTTAATTGTGAGTGAAGACAAAAGGAAGCGCTCTCAGACCAAGATTCAATTTCTTCAGTTTTGAATCTAAGTTTCTTTGCTTCAGGTTGTTTTCCAGAAAACTTTCCGCAACGAAAGGCTCAGAAACGGAATAGAGCAAACTCTGTGGTGCATGGCGCTGTTTGCCCTCATTTATTTGATTACGCCAAATTAATTACCGTGTGAAAGTAGCAACATTCGAGGGGGTCGACCATTGTAGGTCGACCTTTCATTCCTTGAAGAGTAACCATTGTGTTCGGACAAACTTAAGTCCACAAATTACAAAACCCAGTGGCAAATTGTCGATAAGTATATATCAGACTGAAATTTTGAGATTTCTCCTGCTTTTTCCAGGAAAAATTCTGCAAGTATCTAAATAAAAGCTCTCTCGCTCTCTCTCCCTTATTCAAAGTGGTGATGAAACATC